ACTCCCAAGCGTCAGTTGTACATGCAGTGAAGTTTCCTGTGCTTCAGGGACTGACATCCAGCCTCCATGGGCAGGACAGGTGCAGGGGAGGTGGGGAGGGCTGGCTGTGTGGCTTGAAGGCCAAGATCTTCCTGCTTGGCCACGAAGTACATGTTTGACTGCCAGTGTTCAAAGCGTGTGAGGCCACTGGGCATCCAGCAAAGGACCGGGAAGGGATTCAGGGAAGTGTGTGGGTGGGACTGGGAGGAGGGAGTCACCTCCTGTCTGATCTGCCTTAACTCTTTCTCTCTGGCTTTTCATCAGTTTGGTTCAGCTGCCAACAGAGAGAGCTTCTGGCCCCTTCGTTCCCCTCTGAGGACGACTCTCTGGCCTCCCACACCTCACTCTGTCTCTGACTCTGGCCTCCTCTGGTCACCTACTGTTTTTATTCAGCCTGAAGTTCCCCTGGCATGCTGGAATGGAGCGGCCCATTATCACTCACTCACTCTGCACATCCTGCGATGGATCCAAATCAGCTGCTTGCTCCCAGATCCCTCCACCAGACACCACATCTTTCTCCCGGTTTTCTGCAGGGACCAGCATCCTTCCTTGCACACAGGATGCTTGTCCTGCCTCCTTGGTTGAAAACCAGTTATCAGAAAATAACCAATTAAAATATTACCGCTTTGTGGCCTCTTTGTTTATCTTCTCTCCACTGCTTCCAAATTGTTTTTCAATATATTTGGGCAGAGTACAGAAAAGTGCTTACTTGATGAAATGTGTTTACCATGTAAACCCACACAGAATTTTCTAGAAAGATGGTAGAATCAAGGTGGTGAGAGGAGGTGGCCTGCTCTGGTGAGAAGGAGAGTGTGGGGTGCTGAGAAGCAGCCAAGAATGTCTTGGGGAGTCATCGCCCCGTCAGGTCTATGCCAGGACACCAGGCGTTTGTTTGGTCCTTGGAAGGCAGCGGCGGGGCAGGGATCTTCTAGTGGAAGGTGGCTGTGTGGGTGGCGCCCTGTACATGTAAGAGGCCATTTGCCTGAACAAAAAGAGGGAATTAAGAAAAAGGCCTTTTATTTAAATTTGGGTGGAATAAGTATGAAAGGAGCCAACAGGGGAGTCTGTAATTTAGAGAGGGCGTGTGGTGAGGAGGAACTGGTGACCTTGTGGTGCCATTTGGACCCGCACAACTCAGGCCTTGGTGGGGAGCCCTGGGACAGGGAGGTTCGCAAGGCCAGGATCCAGCAGCATCCCCAGGTTCTCAGATGCTGAGGTTGGTATCCCAGGTCAACGGACTTTCTCAGAATGTGGCATCAGAGGCATTGGAGGCACCATTTCTTTCTTTTGGGAATTACCTTTTGAGAATTACCTTTGTTGAGGAACTCAACGAAGTTGAATTAGAAAGGCAAACATGCAATTCTGGGTTATCCAAGCACCTAAGTCTTTGCTGGAAACAAAAAACACTCTACATTCTCAATCTGCTTAATTTGATTTGATCAGAAATGTGTATGTACAAAAATTTCCTTCGTAAGCTGAGAATCCTGCTGAGAAATTTTAGCCCAGAGCGCACTTAGCCTGAGAGAATTATCAGCGCTGGGGGAAAAGAAAACTGTGTGTGATAAAATGTCCCAATTATGGCGACAGTGTCAGTTATTCCCTCGGAATGTATGTCTTTATCCCATCATCTTGTCTGGCTAATGAATATGACCAAGGCCATCCTCTCCCATTATTGCTCAATAATGGGCAATGGAGATGGCATATCTTCGCCTTTATTTTTGCTGGCACATCCAGGCACTGAAGCACATTAAAGTAATAAAATTAGGCAGCAAGGCATCCCAGTCACTCCCACCATGTTCCCGTAACCCCCTCATTTACAACAGACTGAGACAGAAAGGAATTTTTTAGAGCAATTTGCGATGAGGCAACACTGGATATGTAAATTCTGTTTCATTGGCAGTCACCGCTGCCAGCTAATTCTAAAATGCCTAACAGCCTTCAGTTCACTAGCCGTGTTGGGTCGGGAAAATTCAGTTTTAAGGCCCCAAAGGGGGAAATGTGTAATTGCAACTTTCTTCCATGTCTTAAGCTGTGGCCGAACAGATATTGTCCCATCCTCTTTCTGGCCAGATGTTCCGTCCCAGTGGCAGATCCGAGAAGGGGCCTGTTAAGAAGTTCAACTTTTTACTGAGTTGGATGACGAAGGCGGTTTTTATTTTTTGAAAAATTTATTGCTCCTACCGGTTTTATTCCCCCTAAAGAAGTGGCTGCCAGGGTTCAGGAAATAGCAAGAATAACAATTTCAAGGGAAATCACTGACTTGAGTTTGAGACCAGAGACTGAGCAGGCGGAGAGCCCCGTGCGATATAATCATCCTGCAGATGCCACGGTGAAAAGAGGCCACTGCAAGACGGGCCCATTCCGAGGCAGAGCTTTGTCGAGGGGCGCTTGAACAAGATGCCCTTCACTGGAACGGGACACATGCCCTCAGGAGAGATTCGCCACATACACAGTGAGTTATAAGAGGATTCCAAAGGTTAGGGAGATGGGAGAAAAAACTCACACAGTTGCCCTACTTTGCAGAACTTATTTTAGACTTTGCTGTGCCTCGTGTCACTACTATAAAAATAAGAGGTTACAAGCTACAGAGCAAGTCGGGACTGGCCAAAACGTGTGTCCTTGGACTTTTGTCTCCCTGCTCCGCCTTTGCTTGGCTTGACCGTGCTCAAACCTGCACTAGTTAAGAAAGTCCCACGATTTAAGAGGGTTCCCAGGTCATCAGCCACTGGGAGTTCTCTCTAATTCAGCTCTGCACTTCCCCTTGCTCCAGAACAGGGAGTGAGGAGGACATGGGGGTGGTCTTCAACATGGCCATAGGGTGGTGGGACCCCAAGGTGGGGAACAGCCTCAGGTGAACGAGCAGGTGCCTTTCAGGGCCCATCTGCAGGGAGTCGTTGTGACCACTTGGATGTATGTGTCGTAACTGTCCACCTTCCACCCTTCAGGCTCCCAGCAACTTCAAGGCCCCTGGGGAGATTCTCAGACCCTCCCCTCTAATAGGCAGAGAGGAAATGAATGCTGGCTTGGGGAGGGGAGAGTTGGAGGGGATGTGACGCACAGACCCAGAGCTTAGGGACTCTGAATTCAGTAATCTGGGTCTATTGGTGCCCCTTCATATGCAGTAAGGTCATCTATTAACTCTGTGTTTATGGAGCTGTATTTATCACCTGGAAAGGCCTGCAAGTCTTCTTACCAATGGATCCTCTAATTGGAGGTTCACATCGTTTTGTCTTACACGTTGACAATACTGCTGGTGGCACCAGCCTTATCTCTTGCCCAAGATTGGACTAAGGTTGAACTCAAAGCATGGTTTCTGACCACCGGCATTATGTCACTTTGGAGGAACGTGTTAAAATTTCACATTCCTGGGCCCCATGCAGCAGGACCCACTGAATCGAACTCTGTATATCTTTTAAATTAGCATGTTAACATTCTTTTCTTTTGTATTTAGGTAAAACTTATTGCGTTAAGCTGTTTGCACGTTGCTATAAAGATACGTGAGACTGGGTAATTTATGAAGAAAAGAGGTTCAACTGGCTCAAATTCTGCAGGCTTTATAGGAAGCCTGGTGCTGGCATCTGCTCAGCTTCTGGGGGCAGCCTCACAAAGCTCACAGTCCTGGAGGAAGGCAAAGCGGGAGGAGACACATCACATGGCCAGAGCAGGAGCAAAAGGGAGGGGGAAGTGCCACATGCTTTTAAACAGCTCAGTCTTGCAAGAACTCACTCACTATCAAAACGGCAACAGCAAGGGGATGGTTCTAAGCCGTTCATGAGAAATCCATGCCTCCGACTCAGTCACCTCCTGCCAGGCCCTACCTCCAATACTGGGGATTACAATTCAACATGAGATTGGGGCTGGCACAAATATACAAACCATATCACTTATATTCAGTAAAGCACCCAAATCTTAGGACTTTTATCAATCAAATACACCCACGTAGCCACCATGCAGATCAAGACGTAGAACAACATTGCCACCACCCAGAAGGCTTTTTCCTTCTGTTTTTCCGAGACAATAGTATCTTCCAGGGACATCTGCTGTTCTGACTTCCACCATCGTAGACAAGTTTGACCTTTACCTAGCCTGAATCATGCAGGACGCTTTTGAGTCTGGTGTCTTTCTCTCAACATTATGTGTGTGAGATGCACTGTTGCTTGTATAATAGCTAATTCTTTTCCATTGTGCTGTAGTATCTCAAGGCATGGATATACTAAACTGATACACATATTCTACTCTTGATAGCATCCGGGTTGTTTCCAGGTTTTAGTATTATACCAAAGCTGCTGAGAATATTTGATCCTTGGAGAGGATGGAGAGATAGAGGGAGGGAAAGGGTGTGTCTTTCTTTTTCGCCTTTGGTGATGAAGGGAGTTCCTATTGCTGCTCCTCAGCTCAGAGGCCCAGTGTGGCAGGAAGTGGTGAGGTGGTGGGGAAGAAGAAAGAAAATGCTCAGTGCAGTGCATACGTGTACATGTGCATATGTGTGTGTGTGCATGTGCACGCATTGTGTGTGTGCGTGTGCGTGCATGTGTGTGCATGCATGTGTGTGCATGTGTGCATGTGTGCGTGGGCATGTGCGCATGTGTGTGCACGTGTGTGTGCGTGTGTGGTGTGTGTGCGTGCATGTGCATCCATGCCTGTGCATGTGTGTGCGTGCATGTGCATGTATGTACGTGTGCGTGCATCCTTGTGTGTGCACACGTGTGTGCGTGTGTGCATGCGTGTGTGCTTGCGTGTGTGTGGGTTGTGTGTGTGCATGTGTGTGTGTGGTGTCCTCTCCCCCATCCCCTACATCCACCGCCAACTCCACGTTGAGGCTGGTAAATGGCCTCAGGAGGATATTCACAGTGTCATGATCATTCACATCAACCTGCAATGATTTTGCATGTGCACGTTGTGGTGTCGGCATGTATAATTGTGAGACTGGCTCAGATGGAAATCTCCTTCTCCACTTGTAGGCTGGTTATGATGGTGAGAGTATCGGAAATTGCCCATTTTCTCAGCGTCTCTTCATGATTCTCTGGCTGAAAGGCGTTATATTTAACGTGACCACAGTGGACCTGAAAAGGTAAGACAAGGCGTCTGCCTTACTGAAATAACTGTACCTAGTTCCCTACACACACACACACACACACACACACACACACACACACATTTTCTCTCTCTCTCTCTCTCTCTCTTTCTGAGACCTAAGGCCCACGGTGCTGCATGGGCACGTCCATCCTCAGTTGGAGTCTGAACTGAAGCCCACTTTTGGGCCAAGCAGAGTCATGACAGGGTCGGCTGGGCTGGAGTCAGGAAGGAGCAGGAGTTGGGGTTGCCGTGAAGAACTTATTCCCCCGGTTGCTGGTCAGCTGTGACTCTCCCAAGCCTGTCTGAGCTGGTGACAGTGGGGAGAATTAACTTTTTCACCTCCGTTTGTTGATGTGCCCCTTTGTGCTCCGTATTCACAAAGGGGCACATCAACAAGCCCATCATTTGTTAATGAATGCCTTTACTTTCATCGCCAGCAAGAAATTTTTGTAAACCCACACTCTACTTTGCAGTTCTCAAGAGCTGCTTCTCTTAAACTGGGGAGGACACGGCTAAGCCCTGGAAATGAGTCCAGATTCTCCCGGCAGCCCATAAACACGGCTGTTTCCTCCCACCTAGGAAACCCGCAGACCTGCAGAACCTGGCTCCCGGAACAAACCCTCCTTTTATGACTTTTGATGGTGAAGTCAAGACGGATGTGAATAAGATCGAGGAGTTCTTAGAGGAGAAATTAGCTCCCCCGAGGTAGGCCTCAGAAAACTGGTGTTCGTAACTTGATTGTCACTTTCCCCCACTAGTAGTCAATTCTACAGCTCTGGGCAGTGTGTGTGGTTTTCTGCAGCCCACGGAGCTCACTCCCTTCATCATACCACTGGTGTAACCAGATTACAGTTCGGGGGCCTGGGCTTCATTGTGCTGCACCTGCAGCTTGGCAATCAGGGTTTGATGGCAGGAAGTGGGAGAACATGGGTCCAGGGTGGGTGGTTGGCTGTATCCTAGACACCCTGCTGGAAGCTATGCGGTATGTGTTAGGAAGAAGTATCATGGATTGTTGGACCTCAGGGGAACTATTTCTAGTCCATCCCCTTCATTTTACTAGGGAGGGACCTGAGACCAGCAAGGTCAGGTGGGTTCTTGTGTCCCAGGACTGGCCACTGCCAGGAATCAACAACAACCACAATCCAAACCTCTCCTCCGTCCAGTGCCATTCTCTTAGATGGTGTGACTTCCCAACTTTCGAGAGGAAAAGGGTCAGGAAAACATTGAAGGAAAGCTTTTCATTTTCATACCCAGAGAAAGCTGTTTTTCTCCATTGTATAGTATTGTCTTAACTAGAACATCGCTTGTCTGTGATCCTCCAATCTTGAACTTTTCAAGGTATCCCAAGCTGGGGACCCAGCACCCCGAGTCTAATTCGGCAGGAAACGACGTGTTCGCCAAATTCTCAGCGTTTATAAAAAACACAAAGAAGGATGCAAACGAGAGTGAGTACCTCCCATCCTCCTGTTTTCTGTTTCAACACGGACTCGAGCCTTAGCACGGCAGCTCATGAGCTCCTGGGGCATTCTCATCTATGTCCCAGTGGGTAGAGAAGTGAGTCTGGAGATACAGAACAAGCTCCTCCAACTTTGAATCTGCACATGGGCTTCAAGAGATGGAATGCTTCTTTTGAGGCTGGGAACCCAGAAAACGACATTTTTAGGGAAAATAGTCACCACCCAGGTGTTCCAGCCACACCATGGGAATCATGTTCAATGATGTTTCTGCCAGTCCCCGCCTCCCCACAGGCTTTCCATAAATAGTTTTGAATAAATTAATGACTTCTAGAAGTAGCAATATTGTGTAGACAGCAGCAGTGTGATTTTCCAGAGAGGAGTGAGCTCTTTATTCAGATACTCTCCATCCACCTCCTGCCTTCCCAGCACCCATTGCTGGTTGGCCACATCTCAGCGAGGAAGGGAAGCAAACTCCATCATAGCTGGTGAAAAGTGACACACACTTGCAAGACCTCTGTTTGTGATTTCTTGCCTTGCTGTTTCAGTTTATGAAAAGAACCTGCTGAAGGCCCTGAGGAAACTGGATAATTACTTAAATAGCCCTCTGCCTGATGAAATAGACGCCTACAGCACGGAGGATGCCACTGTTTCTGGAAGGAAGTTTCTGGATGGGGACGAGCTGACGCTGGCTGACTGCAACCTCTTACCCAAGCTCCATATTATTAAGGTTCGTCTTCTCTCCTGACACGTGTGCCGAGGACACGAACTGGGCTTTGTTTTGTTTTGTTTTTATTTGTGTTTGGGCCAGACATTTAAACGGTCTGAAATGTGGACACTTGGATTAAAAACACTAGTTCTGTTCAGGACAGCCGAGCCCCAGCTTTCGTACACACAGAAGATGGGCTTCAGGTGTTCTCGGGAAGTGCCTGGGAACGTGGCCCCACCTTCTGCTTCTCTCTCAGCCTGACTCACGCAGCCTAAAGAGAGGTTATGTGAAAGCAGCCTGAGGAATTTCATAGATTATACCTGGCATTAGCAATTGAGAATTAGAGATGAGGCGTGTGGAATCTGGGGCTGTTAAAATGTGAACTCGGTCAACTGTTGGTGACTGTAGGGCTCTACACAGCCCTTTCTAGGCATGACAGAGGAGTGTCCTGTTAGCTCTTAACAGTGACCCTTGGCCAGGTGCAGTGGCCTGTAATCCCAATGATTTGGGAGGCTGAGGTGGGAGGATCGCTAGAGGCCAGGAGTTCAAGACCAGCCTGGGCAACATAGCGAGACCCCCATCTATACAAAAAATAATTTTAAAAAAATTAGCCGGGCATGGTGGCATGTACCTGTAGTCCCAGCTACATGGGAGGCTGAGGCTGGAGGATCACTTGAGCCCAGGAACTTGAGGCTGCAGTGAGTTAAGGAGGTGGCATTGCACTCTGGCCTGGGTGACAGAGTGAGACCCCATCTCTAAAAACAATTAGGTTATTAATTATTTATTTGAAAAAAAAATGGACCTTCAACATCCAGGGAGCAGCTGGCAGCTTTTGGCTGAGTCTCTGCCATATTTGGTGCCCTGCCTTCACATATAGTAGCTGAACATGATTTCAGAGCCATGAGTCATGTATTACTAGGGCTCAAAGACCTCCCAGACCAGTGATTCTCCAACGTTAGTAGGCATACAAACTGTCTGGGGAGCTTTTTAGAAATGTGAGTCCCCAGACCGGGCGTGGCAGCTCACGCCTGTAATCCCAGCACTTTGGGAGGCCAAGGTGGGCAGATCACGAGGTCAGGAGATCGAGACCATCTTGGCTAACACGGTGAAACCCCGTCTCTACTAAAAATACCAAAAATTAGCCGGGTGTGGTGGTGGGTGCCTGTACTCCCAGCTACCTGGGGGGCTGAGGCAGGAGAATTGCTGGAACCTGGGAGACAGACGTTGTGGTGAGCTGAGATCGCGCCACTGAACTCCAGCCTGGGCGACAGAGCGAGACTCCATCTCAAAACACACACACACCCACACACACACACACACACACGAAATGTAAGTCCCCGATCCACTGCTTCCAAGAGTGACCCCTGGAGCTCCAAGCAGATATCCCCACACTTGGACTCCCTAGCTATTGGTGTTTCTCAGCAAAGCAGCCCTCCCAGCCACTCTATCACTTACAGAAGTCGAATGTGATTGTTATGATGAGATTGCTATGTCCTTGGCCCTTAGCAGCTCCAGATACCTCAGGAGGAAGCCCATGCCTGGCTCTGGGGCATTTTAATGATTAAAATCCTGCCAGGGCCGGAGCCAGGTGGTTGGTATAAGGGTAGGGGAGATGGAAGAAACACTGGGAAAAATAAGTCATGGACTGCGCGTTCTAATAACCCATTTAGTTAGCATTTAGAAATTATAAGTTAGCGGCCAGGCGCAGTGGCTCATGCCTGTAATCCCAGCAGTTTAGGAGGCCAAGATGGGCAGATCACTTGAGGCCAGGAGTTTGAGACCAGTCTGGCCAACATGACGAAACCTCATCTCTACAAAACATTAAAAAATTAGCCAGGTGTGGTTGTGTGCACCTGTAGTCCCATGCATTCGGGAGGCTGAGGCACGAGAATCACTTGAACCCAGGAGGCAGAGGTTGCAGTGAGCACTCACTCCAGTCTGGGCAACAGAGCAAGATTGTGTCAAAAAATATATAAATAGATAAATAAGTTACAGGTTAACTTCATACAGTCTATGGTGCTGAGGCTCCTGTGGGCACTGGCTACCCTTGGTGACTCTGCTCCATTCTTTTGCCTTTGTCTTCCTGCATTTCTTCTTTCTATCCTCTTCTCTCAGTCCTGGCCCTGTTGCTCCCTTTTTCTCCCTTCCTTTTTGTGCTTGAGGTTACTGACTTGAAATGCAGGCCTTCAGGAGGTTGCCGATCCCTTGGGCAGATGTCTTTTCAATAGCCTTGCCAGTCCAAGGACATCCAAAAATTTTTTTTTTTTTTTTTTTTTGAGATGGAGTCTCGCTCTGTCACCCAGGCTGGAGTGCAGTGGCACGATCTCGGCTCACTGCAAGCTCCGCCTCCCGGGTTCACGCCATTCTCCTGCCTCAGCCTCCCGAGTAGCTGGGACTACAGGCGCCCACAACCGCGCCCGGCTAATTTTTTGTATTTTTAGTAGAGACGGGGTGTCACCGTGGTCTCGATCTCCTGACCTTGTGATCCGCCCGCCTCGGCCTCCCAAAGTGCTGGGATTACAGGCGTGAGCCACCGCGCCCGGCCCATCCAAAATTTAATGAAAGCATCTCCACCCCTCAAAACCTGCTAAATTTGGGAGCTGCCTTCAACAGGATATTTATGTAGTTGTGTTTTGACTAAGTCCCTTCTGGTCAATGCTTTTTAGTCCCTACTGTGACCAGCATAGCATTGCAGAAATACATGAACGTTGAGGAAGAGGGGGAGAAATATCCCAGCCACAGAGCATTCGTGGCCCCTTGTGTAGCTCCCATGAGAAAAGAGGATTTTAAATTTCAGTAGAAAGGGTAAGCTTTACAGTGAGATCGCAGTTCACGGCTCCACTATAAGACCCAGCAGCAAAATCTACAAAGCCATTTAGCACTCAACACCCAATAGCTTAATGATCTTCCAGGATGGAGTACTTCTGCAAGGAAATGAGAATCAATCTAAGGGAATTATGGTAAAAGATGAGAGTGTGAAGGGATTTATAATTTATTCCCCTGCCAGAAACCCAGCAGAAACAATATAAAAATAGGGTATTAGCGTCATCTTTTGTAAAACTACAAAGGGATGACAGATCACCGACTTAAAGAGTGGGAAGCTTCTTTCAGTGGGAGGAGCCACAGAACCATTACGTGTTTCTCCATATCATTAGCAAAGTTCAGATTTCTCAAAAGGTAAAGGACACAGTCCTGAAATCCCCAACTCAAACTTCTTTGCTTGAGGACTAGAGCATGAGGCGGGCCAGGAGGGAGGCAGGGACCTTCCCAGTAGAGACTATTGTTGAGCTGAGAGCTCTAGGGAGGCAGAATTGAAGGAGGAACCATACAGAGGCACCATCTTTCTAGGCTGTGACCCAGCCCCCAATCCACAGGAACAGTCTGGAGGGGAAGTAAAGTGGGAGGAAAGGAGGGAAGTGTCATTTTGCATTGTGACTGCTGAGCAGAGAAAATAAATTAAGTCAAGAGAAAGATTACGAATTGCCCAAGCTTCGTTTTTAGCCACAGTGGCCTTCTGCCTAATCTGTGAGCCTCAGAGTGGAGGATGCTCTAACCCTAACCCTAACCCTAACCCTAACCCCAACTCTAATGTGTCTCTCTGGGGCAGAGCAGTGGTTGGTGAGAAGGTGCTTGGGAGCAAATATTCCAACTGGCTGGCCACCTGCCCTGTCTCACTCCCTTTGCCCTCCCCACTGCTTTTAAACAAATAATAGGTCCAGTAGATCTGCCTCATTCAAAGATGGCCAATACCAGAGAGAATGCCAGTGAGACCTTGGTGTAGACAGAGTTGATTGAAAAGGAGGGGGTTGGAGGGAGGAACGATAAAGAGAAGAAACAAAAACAGAAAAAAGGCAGATGGGAAATACATATATGATCAAGAACTGCTCCTCCAGCACATCAAAGAACATTTCATACAGAAACTTTTCTACAGCCTCAAAGAAATGAAAGAGAATATGGGCTTTTTGAGAAAAAACTCGAAGACAAGACACAAGATGTTGAAAAATACACTATCACAAAGGGGATGGCAATCAGGCTGGCAGAGATCAAGAAGAAAAGTAAAGACAAATAAAAGAACTGCAGAAATAAAAGTCCCGTTAGAAGTAGTAAGACGCAGACAAAGACATTGCTGAAATTGATTTCCTCTGACATTCGCACACATCTTGTAGAGTTGGTTGTGGTATGTGGTGTGTGTTTGTAGCCTTGCTGTCAGTGATTTGGAAGACAAGCCTGAGAAAATCATCTAAAATCAAATGGGGAAAAACAAAAAAGGTGATTAGAGAGATCCCAGGTATACACCAGGGACAAGAGAACAGAAAAGGAAAAGGAAAAAAAAAAAGGGAGTGTTCAAGGAGGAAATGACTTGCTCTAAAGGATGACCTGAATCTTTAGTTTAAATGACATGCCATGTTAAACATAGCCCCAGAAAGAGCAACACACTGAGACATACTTGATACATTACTGAGCTTTGAGAATAAAAAATAACCCTTTTTGGCACCTAAACAACAATAATACTGTAATAACAATAACAGTAATAATAATAAAAACAATGAAATCGAGTAAAGCCACCGAAATAGGGGAGAAATTCAGACTGGCCCCAGATGTCTTCATGAACCCATTACAAGTCAGAAAATTGTGGTTTAACATCTACAGAGAATTAAGGAAAAGGATGTGTGAGGTAAGAATTTTATATCTAGGCAATTATCGTTTTTACCTAGACCTCTGGTCTCTTTTTTAAAAAGCATAAAATTGCTCTATGATGACATAATAAAATCATAATCAAAGTGAGAATCCAGAAACAGAGAAGGTATGTGAAGTGAAAGAACAGGCACTAAACAGAGAACCCCTTTAAATCTGAAACTGGTTCTAAGACCAAACAGCAGTGGGAATTATAGGGACAGAACAGAGTCAGAATATAATAAACTATGTTGTTACCACCATTGGAAGGAGGATAAGGGAGAAGAAATGGAAAGAATCATAGATACATAAACTCCCTCATCTGTCATCACCACGAGTTAACAGGCAGCATCTAAAAGGAAGGCCGGGTGCAGTGGCTCACACCTGTAATCCCAGCACTTTGGGAGGCTGAGGTGGATGGATCACTTGAGGCCAGGAGTTCAAGACCAGCCTGGACAAAGTAGTGAAACCCCGTCTCTACTAAAAAGACAAAAATTAGCTGGGTATGGTGGTGCATGCCTGCAATCCCAGCTACTCGGGAGGCTGAGGCAGGAGAATCTCTTGAATCTGGGAGGCGGAGGTTGCAGTGAGCTGAGATCCTCCACTGTACTCCAGCCTGGGTGACAGAGTGAGACTGTCTCAAAAAAACAGAAAACAAAACAAACTTGATAAATCAAGAAATACAGAATTCCTATATATTTAAAGTCATATAGGAAACCACTGGAGAGTTAACATGACCATAAACCTTTTAAATGACCAGAAAGGGGGACACACACATGCATACAGAAGAAAGACAGAAAACCAAGTTCAGTGACACATTCAGAGGCATGGCCTTAAACGATGTACACAGGAAAGTTAAAACAAAAATATGGGCAAAGAAAAACCAGATACATACACACAAAAGAAAAGTGGACTTCTTAACATGAGTATCAAGAAGTTGGCATTCAAGGAAGAGGTGTCAAACAATTTAGGAGGCTCTTTGAAAATTACATGGTCCTTCTTTGCTGTCACATTGCATCAATGATTGCTGTCCTCCGAAGTCTGTGCAGTAAGTCCCAAAGATCTTCTCATTAATCCCACACCTGCATCGTGCAGACATCCGGGGAACCAGTGGGATGGGAGGCAGCGAAGCCGAACTGGCCTTTGTGGCTCCGGGTGTCTACTTCAAGCTGAATCGTGCCCTCCTCCCAATTCCTGTGTTGATATCCCAACCCCCAGTAACTCAGAATGTGACCTTATTTAAAAACAGGGTCTTCACAGATGTAATTAGTTAAAATAAAGTCATACTGAAGTGAGATGGACCTAATCCAGGATGGCCAGTCTCCCTGCAAACCGGGGAAATTTGGAAACACAGACACAGGGAGAAGGCCGTGTGAAGATGGAGTTATGCTTGCACAGCCAAGGCACTGCCAGAAGTGAAGAGAGATCCTTCCCTAATGCCTTCAGAGAATGCGTGGCCCTGCTGATACCCTCATCTTGGACTTCTGGCCCCCAGAACTAGGAGTCAGTAAACTTCTGTTGTTCTAAGCCTCCCAGCATGTGTTGCTTTATTATGGCAACCCTAGCAAACTGGCACAGTCCCCAGTGTCCTGCACATCTTTCTGACTAATTCCCCAGCTGTACCCCTCTTGCTAGAGGAAGCGTCTCACGCCGCTGTGTTTCTCGTGATGCTGTTTCTCGACTGCTTTTTCCTTACACCCACCGTCCCCATGAGGGTATGGATTTGCAACTGCTTTGTTCATGAATCTATCCTCCGCACAGGTGGGCCCTGCAATTAGACGATGCTCTTAGTGGCAGCATGATGGCATTCAGGAGGAATAAAATGCACAGATGTTTGGGACTGCAGGAAGTGAGGTTCAGCAAGTAGAAAGAAGAGAGGGCACCATTTAAATGGCAGATCCGACATGCATCTTTATTCACAAAGCACCTAATAACACAGTAGCACAACATATGGAAAGAATAACAGGCAACACAAGGAGAAATCCACCAGAGTCCAAAGCATACTCATGCCAGCGGATCCCAAGGCCCAGCTGTGACAAACTGGTGGGGACTATGTGCAGCCACTGTAGTGAGTCCAGGACCTTTAGAGCCCTCCCCACACCCAAGATGGCCCTATGCAAGTCAAAAGGCCGTGGTGGGTAGCCCGGATGACTATAGGATGACATGGGAAGCTGGGAAAGAATGTATTACATGCCTCAAAAGAATGGACTGTCTGACTTGGGAGCCTACCTTAGTAAGTTTCCTCTTTACTGATGATTTTCTCTTCATTTTCAGATTGTGGCCAAGAAGTACAGAGATTTTGAATTTCCTTCTGAAATGACTGGCATCTGGAGATACTTGAATAATGCTTATGCTAGAGATGAGTTCACAAATACATGTCCAGCTGATCAAGAGATTGAACACGCATATTCAGATGTTGCAAAAAGAATGAAATGAAGCTGGGCTGTTTTCTTATTTTTCAGTTGAGTGAGTGAGGATATGAAAAGAGTGTGTTCTATGCATTTCCCCCAAATAAGTCCTTCACAAAATAACACCTGTAGTGGGATCCACTCAACCCCAAATGATACACGGCCTTGTAATTTGTCAACTCACTCATGTATCTGAATATACCAGTATCTGTTGCTAGACACACCAATTGTTCAGTTTATGTTAATTTATATCTGTGACATTCACTGACATTGGAATCTATGATATTTAGGGCATGTGTTTTTCATTTTAAATTTGAAAACAAATTAGGTTTGGGTTCAATTCCTTCAATTTTTTAAAAAACTGGTCTGTCTCTGAGAGTTTTTAAAATCATTGAGAGCCTGTTTTTCTTCTCTAAAACATTAGCTACATTTTTTTTTTCAAAATGAAAATACTGCTTTGTAATTACAAACTGAGACACACCTGTCTTGATATTTTAAAGCAATGTCAGAGAGTGTAAAGAAGGACATTTTTAAAATCACCTACAATTTTACTCCACTTAATTACTGAAAACTTACTGGAGAACATCTTCCAAATCTTCAGTATCTTGCTCTCTCTCTCTCTCTGACACACACACACACACACACACACAATTTCATTCATATATGGTGTTGCATTATTTTATTTTAAAGCACTGGTGAGAGGACCTCTTGGTAATACCTGGATGATCATACACAGAGGACTTACACCATACAAAAAGATTGGGCACTGCAGTATCAGAGAAGATGCTTGAGGTTAGATTTTAAGGAGTGGGGAATTGTGGAGCCCACAGATGCGCATGCAAGGACCAGCAGGAACCAGAAGCCCTGGGTCACCCCCACTCTGCCTCATTTCTGCTTCCAGGATGCCACTGCCTCTGCTTCGAGGAAAGGCAAGGAGGAGGGTGCTTATCGGTGCCTCTGGTTCCAGCTTCCTGTCCTTGCTCCCTCCCCTCTCTTGGAGACTGTGCCTTCAGCAGGACTCTTAATATCTGCTGCAACTTGGAGAACCCTCCTGCCCTGAAACGTGAACCAAGCACACCTTGGTTCCTTCTCCTGGCGGCTCTCTCTGAGACCCAAGGCTGCAGTCCCTCAGTGCTGGTGGTATCGTGTGGGGCTAGCACGGTCACTGATGTTTTTCTGCCCTTCATTGTCTCATCTAGACATCAAGCAGGGAAAATCCAGGGAGATTAAATTCATGGTGACAAGTCCTGGGCAGTTCTGGTAAATGGTCCAGTTAGGGAGGAAGTAGAAACTATTGACTCAAAAGAGTTTCTGGCTGATTTGTGGCTTTGCCTCCACCGTCCCTAACCAACCTCTCATCACAGCTTTGTGTGTGGGCCGAGTGCCGGCCTTAACCCCAGGCGTGGAAGAGAAAATGTGAGGTTGTTTAGATACTCATCAGGACCTCACAGGAGCTGAGCCTTATCGGCCAGAATGTGTTCCTCGGACATTCGCACACATCTTACTGAAAACCCTCCTGGTAGAGTTGGTTGTGGTATGTGTTTGATGCTATAAAGCTCATTTTTAATGTGCACACCTGCTCTAGGGGCAATTTATTTGAAAGAGAGTAAGATGCATTAACAGAAACTATCCTGGGATTAAGTGAAAAATGTCTAGCAAAAGAAACAAAGTCTTTAATAGAGTGGTCTCTTTCTCCCCCCGCTTATGACTGCTGCAGTTTTACCCCAGCAGTCGGCCATCTTTGTCAACCATACGTTTTTTGGAGGTTGTGTCTAGCATGTGTCACCCTTGTCTATGTTGTTTCACATCTGGTTAGGGGGCAGATTTTAAAATGTAGTTTTGTAATGTTACATTTAAGCATGATGAATTATTAGACTACCAGATGTTACTAGTGCTAACTTTGTATTCTTAGACATTAAAATGATTGACATAAACTCTTTGTGCCTTGAAAAGGAAACAAATTATAAAAATGTTTAAATGGAACCAATTTCTTTAATTTTATTTATTTATTTTTTTTTTGCATTCCCCATTCCCCATTTAGGTTTCAAGAAATAAAATGAATGGTATGGGCTTCTTTTAAAACGGTGAGGACAGGCCCAGCATAGTGGCTCATGTCTATAATCCCAGCACTTTGGGAGGCCGAGACAGGCAGGTCACCTGAGGTCAGGAGTTCAAGACCAGCCTGGCCAACATGGTGAAATCCCATCTCTACTAAAAACACAAAAATTAGTTGGGCATGGTGGTGGATGCCTGTAGTCCTAGCTACTAGGGAGGCTGAGGTGGGAGGATCACTCTAGCCTGGGAGGTGGAGGTTGCAGTGAGCTGAGATCATGTCACTGTACTCTAGCTTGGGCAACAGAGCGAGACCCTGTCTTAAAATAAAATAAAATAAAATAAAATAAAATAAAATAAAATAGTGAGAGCAAGTTTGAACCGGAGATTATGGGCATTTGAATTAGAGATAATCCATATTTCAGTTGTGAATCACAAAGGCATTTTAAAGGAGCCTTAAAGAGGCGTGCAAAGACACCCGTGAACAGTCCTTGTCCAGGTGACTGGCATAGACAGCCTGCAGGGTGTTCCACTTTTACATGGAGTTGTAGGAAAGGGACTGGTTTTGGGTGGTCTTCCCCAGCCCCGCCCCAACTCTGCCTTCAGCTCCGCCCCCAGCCCACACCTCTTGATTCCCCTAAAAACCTACATGTGTGTAAGGAGGTAAGAAATATTCCAGGGCTGTTCTCCTGGACCAAAATCTTCATTACAGTGTGTTTTAAAAAACAAAATACATTTGTTCTTCAAGACATACCATACAAAATGTAAACATGGACAAATAGTGTATAAATTATTCTTTTCAGGCTGTGTGGAAGTTTTTCTGGATGGAGAGGATTCCATTCTCAATTCTAGTTGCCCAAGAGGCCTGAAAATTAGTTTATAAAAACCCAAACTTTACCTTTTTTTTTTTTTTAGTTGAGACAGAGTCTTGCTTTGTCGCCCAGGCGGGAGGGCAGTGGCTTGATCTTGGCTCACTGCAACCTCCGCCTCCCAGGTTCAAGCGATTTTCCTGCCTCAGCCTCCCAAGTAGCTGGGATTACAGGGGTGCACCACCACACTGGGCTAATTTTTTTGTTTTTAGTAGAGACGGGGTTTCTCCGTATGGCCAAGGCTGGTCTCAAACTCCTGAGCTCAGGCGATCCACTTGCCTTGCCTCCCAAAGGGCTGGGATTACAGGTGTGAGCTACCACGCCCGGCCTCCAAACTTTCCTTATAAACACAGAATGTCCTAAAGCAGGCTGGAAGGGAACACGAGAGCATCACAAGGTTGTACTTTGTGGATACCGCAGCATACGGAAATGCAATGACAGAATCTGCCCAGAAGAGCACTTTCAGAGACCAGAGGTCTCAATCATTTCCATTCTATAAGTCTACCTCTAGGAATTGAATATATGTTGAAGTCCTTCACCGCCAAGATGGGCGGACAGACAGACACACACACACACAGTAGACACACATACGTGTGTACACCAATTTGTGACATCATTGTCACACACTCTCACATCCTCACAAACACACTCCCACAGACAGACATTCATGCACAGCCTCCACCCCCACCCCGCATGCAGGATGAGCTCCGTCCCCTCTCACCCTCCCCCAGTGGTAAGCAATAACTCACTCTTAGCACAACCCACCCAGCCCTCAAGTTCCCCCTTCCGGTGGTTCATAATTAGGCTTTGGAAGAATTTTAGATGAACGGCTTTAAAAAATTTTTTTTTTATTTTTTTGAGACAGGGTCTCACTCTGTCACCCAGGCTAGAGTGCAGTGACATGATTTTGGCTCACTGCGTCTCTGCATCCCGTCCCCAGCACCTCCCACCCCAGGCTCAAGCCATCCTCCCACCTCAGACTCCCAAGTAACTGGGACCACAGACACACACCACCACGCCTAGCTATTTTTTTTTTTTTTTTCGTTTTTAGTAGAGACAGGGTCTCACCATGTTGCCCAGGCTGGTCTCAAACTCTTGAGCTCAAGCAATCCAGGCACCATGGCCTCCCAAAGTACTGAGATTACAGGCATGAGCCACCATGTCCAGCAAGCTTTTAAAAAATATTTTTACAAGAAAATCTCAACCCTTCTTTTATTTTACAGTTAAGAGAACCAAGATGTCCTTCATTCTAAGCACACATAATTCACAAAACCCTACATACATGAAATTGATGCACTGGGGGATGCTATTCATGTGACAAAATGACTTCTCTTTCCACATATGGTTGTAAGTCTACATTATTCTGTGGCCAGTTTCCCTTCAGACCTTGGTATTTTGGTTTAATAAGTTACATGCATTTTAGGGCATGGCCACCTTGTAAGGGACGTGTGGCCCCTGGTCACAGAAGGACTGACTACACTATTCTCCAGGGCCTTTGCAGGTCTGGGGCATCAGGAAGCCCTTTCTGCTTCTGTGATCTCAGGGACCCAGCAGGGGTGGCACCTGCCATTGCAGCTGGTGGATTGACAAGGTCGTTGTTCCCATTGCAGAGGGTTCTGGTGGAGTCCTCTACGAGCCTTGCCTTGAAGGAGGCCATTTAGGTAGGGAGAGTCGAAAGCTGCCTGGCGAAGTGGCGGGTCAAGTCATGGTCGAGAGGAAATTGTGTTTAGCGGCATGGAGCTGCATATTTGGGAAGAGGAAGCCATTTATTTAGGTTATAAGGCCTGGGATCGGGCCACCAATGGGATCTTATCCAACCTGCATTCATTTTACCCTTCTGTGGGACTGCCTATCCTATTGTTCAGTCCTACCCTATTGTTCTGGCTCCCATGGCCTCTGGCTGTGTCAGCTTATCCTAACAACATTCTGGAAGAGAAGCTATTTTTCTTGATGACACCTCCCTCTCCCATCTCTTCCTTGATCCCCTTCTGTACTGGATTCTGTGATATACTCCTAGGTGAGTGGACAAGGACAGTGGCCATCAGTGGCTGGCCTAGGATTCCCTGTGGTTCAGCCCATCTGCTGGGCTCTGTCTCCCTGCAAATCCATCTTTCCAGGTGGCTGACACTTGCGAGTCTGAGTTAGGTCTGTTTCTGAAGCTCTGACCTACATATGTAACCAGCACCTGCTAGAGCATCCTGAGGCTTTTTAAATCTTTTGGATCTTCCCAGGTTCCAGGAGAATTCCAGGGCCCGGAGAGAGAACCATCCTTGCTTAGAATGTTTCTTGGTTTTGTTAAAGGGGATGTATTCAAATAGCATTAAGGTTTTTGTTTGCCTGTTTGCTTTTTCCTTCCTGGAATTAAGATGTAAAAAGTTCTGCAGGGTGCAGTGGCTCATGCCCACAATACCAACACTTTGGGAGGCTGAGGTAGGAGGATTGCTTGAACTCAAGAGCTTGAGGCCAGCTTGGGCCACATAGCAAGACCTTGTCTTTACTGAAAGTAAAACAAATTAACCGGGAAGGATGGCGCCTGCCTATAATCCCAGCACTTTGAGAGGCTGAGGTGGGAGGATTGCTTGAACTCAAGAGTTTGAGATCAGCCTGGGCAACATAGCAAGGCCTTGTCTCTACTAAAACTAAAAAAACATTAGCTGGGTGGGGTGGTGCCTGCCTGTAGTCCTGGCTACTCAGGAGGCTGAGGCAGGAGGATTGTTGGAGCCTGGCAGATGGAGTCTGCAGTGAGCTGTGTAGACGGACTCTTGCTCTGTCGCCCAGGCTGGAGTGCAATGACGCGATCTCGGCTCACTGCAACCTCTGCCTCCCAAGTTCAAGCAATTCTCCTGCCTCAGCCTCCCAAGTAGCTGAGATTACAGGCACGCACCACCACGCCAGCTAATTTTGCATTTTTAGTAGAGACGGGGTTTCTCATTGTTGGCCAGGTTGGTCTCAAACTCCTAACCTGAGGTGATCCCCCCCGCCTCAGCCTCCCAAAGTACTGGGATTACAGGCATGAGCCACCACACCCGGCCCACCTCTGGCATATCTGAATGAACATTAAACCTCTCAGTCTCACTCATCTTATCTGGAAAATTGGAACGACATTTCACAATAGTGTAGAAGATGGTGTCTTAGAAGTTCTCTATAAAAGCTGCAAAGCAGCTGGCTGTATACAAATTAATTTTTCTGGAATTCGCTCTTCCTATAGGGTAACAGCCCTGAAAAAAGTAATTTGTCAAAGTGGACAGGGTTTGAGTTCACCAGTGTATAAGACCTTGAACCTTCCTCACAGAGGCAGAAGGCAGTTATGCTCGAATTCCTGGTTCCCTACAACAAGGCAGCACCCTGTGATATTGGTCACTACTCAGTTGTCCCCCTCGGCTGGTCACTGGGGGCTGTCCAGGGCTGGTCCAGCTGTCTGTCAGGCACATTGTAACCTGAACAGCCTCCACAGTGGGCGGACGGCTCTATCCAGGACACCTCTAGTCTGGCTTGGAGACACTGTTTTCAGTTTTGTGATATTTACTTGAAGCCCTGAGGGGTGGAAAAGCAGATCAAGCAATGTGGGTGGTCTCCCCAATGGCAAAGCCCTCCGCTCACCCAGGCCAGGCCCTCCTCCTCACCACTAGGTGGCGCTTCCTCCCATTCCCTGAAGCCAGGCGGGCCTTACCGTCACAGAGACTAGTCGGATTGACTCCCATGGACTGATGCCCACACAGCCTTGAGCCTTCATCCAAACCTAGCGCAGCCCTCTGGGTGTCAGCCCAGGGTGGCCCACGCATCAAAGGGCGGCCTTTCGGGGCCAGAGAAGCCAAGCGTGAAATAACCCTGCTGGTCTCAGCCCGGGCTTCCAGGATGGCCACACCCAAAAGGTCAGGCTGTGTTTTCCCATGTGCTAAAGAATGTCTCCAGGAGCGGGAGCTCCTCTGTGTCCTGTGGCTTTCTGTTTGGCCATGGAAATACCTTCAAGGACTAGAAGGCCCTTGTCACGCCTAACTTGAACACAACTTGCTCTTGGTACCTTCTCACTCCTTTTCTTTTTGTGAAAACAGACAGTGTTGGGGGA